AAACAAACCCCTAAAAACCATTTGACCCCGTGGAACTTACTGAAAACATGTTGTAATTATAGAACTTAATATGTAATGGAAACTTACAGTAAATTTTCAGAAAAAAACTAATGCAATATAAGGAAAATATCAAGCTGATATACAGAAAGCTCAAGTAAAGTTATTGAAACAAATGAAGTCAACATGTGCCAGTCTATTATTCACTGAGTTTTGTCTGCTGTTGCATCTCATTACCTCCCATTAACAGAAGTCGGAAGTTGTACAGGTCTTTCATTTTGTCTTTCAAATTTATATATTCATGTATGCTGGTTTAATTTTTACTGACCTGACATTTCTCAAACACTATTCATGGCATAAAATACAAAGTACTAAAAAAAAATGGCAAAAGTATTTATTATTAGAAATATTGTTAGAAAATATTTTCAATTTACTATAAAATTACTATTAAATGTTTAACAGTAAAACATTGAGAAACATATTAAATGAGTTTGCATTATAGGAAAAGACAATATCTCAACATTCACATGAACTTTTCTACTTGAAATTGCTATTTCTTGACTTTCTTCTGGCCTATCATTTAAAACTGATTTTCAGGCTCTGAGCTCTAAATTTTGGCTTCTTATGTGGTATTTTTAGCGAAGCAAGTCATTGGGTCTCTGCTTATTAATACACTTTGCTGGTCCATCTATACGAATTTCTTTATTTTATGAGTCCTTAAGCAGCACATTTTTTTTTCTCTCATTGAGTTTATTGGTACACTTTAGGTATACAGTACAGTTACATTCATCATTGGGATCTTGTACCTTTACATGACAGGTCTTGGTTCTCATTTTTTTCCCCTTGTCCCTGCCTTCCCTTCACCCCCTCCTCCCCTCCCCATTTACAAACATTTCATTTCCATTTTTTCATTTTCTCATATTTTTTTCTTTTACCTTATTACCTTTCCCCTACCCCACAACTTTCCCTACACCTTTAGCCCCTTTATTCTTATTTCACATTGTCAATTATATCATTAGGATCTTAGGTACTATTATAGTTTATTCACACCAGAGAGACTGTTTGGTATTTACACAAGTGTGACTTATTTATTTCACTTAGGAGTGTATCCTCAATGTGTATCCATTTTCCTATGAATTAATCTAATTTCTCATGCTTTATGGCTGAGTAGTATTCTATTTTATAGAAAGACCACATCTTCTTTATCCAGTCTCCAACTGAGGAGCAAATGGGCTGTTTCCAAGTTTTAGCTATTACAAACTGAAGCAGCACATTTTAAAAATGATCAGTTTAATTTTACTTTACCTTTCTACAATATGCATCAAGCAAAAAAATCAACTTTTGTATAAATTTTATTTTCACCTACAGATGAAATCAAATTGTCCCAGATTCAAATATCACTTCTCCTTCCAATGTTGGAATTATTTTGGGTTTCATAGAGTTGTATTAATTATAACATGTATTGTAGTTGTTGAGAAAATGTTATGACACAGTATTAGCTTTATATTTTATTTCCTTAATTTTTGTATTTTGGTAATCTGATGAAACCAAACTATACACATTAAATACCTAATGCTAATTCTAACACTATTTTTATGTCTATGAAATATGTCTACATTAAATTTCTAATTACATGTTTATTTTTCTTTGATATATTCATATTTGATAGCACAGACACTTTTGAATTGCCTAAGTATAAATAAAAGGCATGACAATTACAGTCTTCCACTTACTATCATTGTGATTCTTTCTCTCCATAATATCAAGACCTTATAAAAAATCCTTAATTTCCAATTAATTTTGTTGTTATTTCATAGGATCACGTATATAAATGGCTATTTGTATTGTGGCTATTTGTATTGTGGAAATATATTTGGGTTGGAACACTTGAAGATAATCTGATTCATTCTCCTAATTTATTTCTTTTACACACAATGACCCTACAGCTTTCCTCAGAACAAGTCCGATGAAATGTGTCTTTGAGTTGGATACCTGGATCCTGCAGTATTTGAATGTTTAATTAAAATCACATGGAGTGCTATAACCTGCAGTTTTATTATTCAGAGTAGATTTGAATTTGAAATATTCCCTAATGATTATTCCATACATTTTCCTATCTTGTACTGGAGGGTTAAAGTCAAAGTAAAGAAAAACAATACAGTGAACTTCATTAAGGATGTAAGGGAGAAATTGTCTTTTAGAACCCATTGTAAGTCAGTGATACTCACCAGTTTTTCAGAAGAAGCTAAGTCAGAGATCAGGTGCTACTTGGATGAGTGTTAATTTTGGGGAGTTCATTTTAATTGTTAACAGACCCCCAGTGTCTTAAGCATCAACATTTTGCTTGAAGTAGTGAAGGTGCTTTAATTTATAGGGCTCTTTGTGTTTGGGCTTAGCTCTTTTAGCTTCTGGACCTTGCGTGTCTGGTGCCATAAAAGGCTTGTGGCAAATAGTGTTATGTAAAAAAGCAAACACCTGTTCTGTGAATCTGGCTACCATTGCTATTTTGTAAATTCAGAAACCTACATCTCCTTCAAGTCATCATTTTAGATTCTCATATAATTCTACGTTCTTTGTATCCTTTACGGTATACTACTAATTCCTATTGTGCTGCTTTCCGCAGCTAAGATGTAATAGAATTAGTGGCTCATGGCTGATTTCAAAGACCTTTTCTCACCATTGTCATTGTTCGTATCAGACAGAGTTTGCCAGCAGAAGACAGAACGAATCCTTTAACCCTAACCTTAGTGAGCTCTCTTATAGAGACTAAAACTGATCTTGTCCTTTTATTCTTTGATGTTTTTCACAAGTCGTATTCCACATTCTATTTTAGGTATGACTTGTACTATTACTCTCTCTCGCATACAGTACAGGTTCTATAGGGCCTAGGCTGGAATCTAAGAAGCATTCCAGAATACACAGCTTTTCAAAATCGTGTCTTTCTCCAGATGCACATGCAGCAATTCCTTGGAATTAATTCTTGCTCAGAAACACATCAGCCCTTAGGCCAACAGGCCTCTGGTGACCCACACCGCAGTCCTGCCCGCAGACAAGTTCAGACAGATTTGAAATCCTTTGATGATTCCAATGTGTGCTCCATCTGGGCTTTCTGCTATAATTAGAAAAGAAATCATCATGTAGTATCCTGTTTACTCTTTTTTCTCAAAACAATAATAAATGTAGCTAATATTCGATGACTTGGCAAAGAATTAATGGCTTATTAAGGAAATTAAAATTTTAAAATGATATATAACGTTTAAGGAGTCGATTTTAGGGGTTTGTTTTGTCTGTTTGCCTATATTTTGCTTAGCTCCAGCAGTACCTTTACCATTTCTCTCCATTTACTCAGTTTTTACATTTGTGTATAAATTCATTTACAGCTTTTATATAATAGTTGCAAAAAAGATAATAAAATATGATTGCTTTCATTGATATGTAGTGACTATCAACCTATATAAATATGTTAATAGGAGTTTATTAAAAATGTAAATATTTCTCCTCAATAAATTTACAGGATGGTTGTGCATTTAAATGTTGAAAGGACAGATGAGTTTGTATTATAAAACTTTGCAGTGGTATAAGAATAGGTAGTCATTTTTTTTCACATTTGTGTTTTCTTTATGATAATATTTTATTTTAAAATTTGTATCTATATTTCTAAGGGAAGATGGTATATTATTATGTACTTGTGCAAATTAGAAAAAATTATCTTTTAGTAGAAATTATGATAAAGCTTGCTTACGAAGCATGTAAAGTTAGTACTACCATTTTAAACTAATTTCTTTTTTCTTTAAACATTCCTAGGATGGAAGGCAGGGTCCTCATATTGAACTAGAGCACCAGCCCTTTTTAAAATTATTTTATTTTATTGTTTATTTTGATCAGTGTCTTGCGAGGTCACATCTGGGCTGAGTTCTAACTTGAGATGCTCCCAGATGCTGGGTTTACAGGTGTGCACTGACAAGATCAGCTGATTTTTTTAATTTGTTTTTATTTTTGGTAGTGCAGAGAATTTAACCCAGAAGTGTACACATGCTAAGCATGCTCTGCATGACTCAGTACATCCACAACTAATTACAAAATCTTCACTGTATGTGTTTTCACTATTTGGAATTTTTGTAATGTGCAGGTTGATTTTGTGGATTGTTTCATATTAAAAATAATCAAATTATAATATTTTGTATTATCTACATATACTATCTTATGAACTTTTTGTATGTGTATTTATGTTTCTTTATATCATTTTTAATGCTCCATACTTTTTCCAGTTTTCTGTCATGAGTACCTTTATCTGAAGGAATAGTTTTGTTTTTATTCTTCTCCTTTTTAATCATTACGTTTTTTGTTTTTCTCTTATGCTTAGTAAAATAAGATATTAATTTCATTCCTATGTGTTAGTTTTATCTTGTTGCCTTTTTTCTATATTTTTTAAATTATTTTATTTTTATTTTTATTTTTTAGTACCAGGGATCGAACTCAGGTCGTTGCACTTGTGAGGCAGGCATGGCGCCACTGAGCTAAATCCCTGACCCTTTCATATCTTTATAATTTATAATTGCTTTGTTAATTGCCATGAACTTTAGAAACATCAATTGCTATATTAAAAGGACTCTTGACTTTTACCTCAGTTTGTATATTATACTACTGTGGTATACACTTAAAAATTAATATAAATTGTTAAGTTTGCAACTATGTCTTAATACATGAAGACATACAACTCATCTCATCTACTAGCTCATGATGAGTATAACAATATTTAATGGCAGAGTTTATAATCACAGAATATTATCTTTCAAAATGTACTGCCAGACGTAATTACTTAAATAAAAACACATAAGCATACATGATGTATATATTTGAATATCTTAAGATTTTATTAATAATTTTAAATGTCTAATTATTGAAAATATTTTAGTGTTCCTCCTACAAGCATGGATGTAATTAGAAATAAATAGCATAATTAACTTTCAAAATATGAGATAAATAAATGTCTCCCTATAATCTTATATCTAGAAACTCCATCATGGTGATTCAAGATGGAAATAAATTGGTTTCATCTTGGATCCATTTTTGGAAAGAGTTTTCAATTAGCAATAATCATGCCTGGGATAAACCTCACTGGCTATGATACGGCCACTGTGCAAAGCTTCAGATTCCATTTTTAATTGTTACAAAATGCAATGAATTAAAAATTTGATTTAAAGAATATTTTTGGCCAAAATTTATCAAGTGAGATTTTACATATAGATTCTGAATGGTAGTTTTCAAGAGAACTATGAATATAAGGAAGCACAGAAAAACCTGTTCAAGTTAAAAAAAAAATTCCTTTAATTTTTTTCAGGTTCTCTCTCCTAGCCCTGAAAAGAATCATTCATACTGCTTCAGCCTAAGTCTTTTCAGTGAAACACTTTCTTGGAGTTAATTATTTTTAAGTAGAAATAAAGAAGTTAAGCTTAAGACACTAAGATGGAACAATATTCTTCTTCCTTTTTTTTTTTGTTTTTTTTTAATTAAGGTACTGAGGATTGGACTCAGGACTTTTTGCTTGAGAGGCAGGCTCAATACCACTGAGATAAATCCCCGGCCCCTCAATCTCTTTCTTAATGTCCATAGGAAAAATGTGTATCACAAATACTCTAGGGGAAAATGAATCTAAAAAATGTCAACTTAAAGAGGGAAATACACGTAAAGCATTTTGTGTTTGAATATCTCTTAATTTTGCGACAACCATACTTCTTTACCTGTTAGATATTGGTATGTATTTCATATTCCTGGATAAATTGAGAAGAGATTAAAATAGAGCAGCCATTAGTTAGCTAAATTATCTGCAAGATACTTTTATACTCTGACTTTGTGACCATGCTTTGAAATCATTCAAATAAATTATTTGTGTGTGTAAGAGAAATTGCTGGGTACCTTAAAAGAATGGCTAAACATTAGCTCTGTTCATCAAACAAGTAGTTATTTCTAGTAGGTAAGAAATTGTAAGCTACTTTGACTGTTCCTTTTAATCAAATAAAAATAATTTTATTGGAACAATCCTGCTGACCACTGTTTTCTCTAACTTATTAATTTGTTTGGGGTATAATGACTTCTTAGGAGACAAAGAAGTCCTTGGTGATATGTAAAGGCGAAGTCCATCTGGAGAGTGCCAGAGGAATTGGTGTTCACCTTCGTATAGAGCTCTGGGATACCACATGGGATTTAGGATTAGACTAATTATCTCGTCATTTAGTAGCTGTTATTTCCACTTTCTAACCTTTAATTTCCTCATTTGTAAAATCACCATAATAATGGAGTCTTAACTCATAGACATGATGTGAGAATTGGAAGAGAAAATCCACATAAATACAATGTTGGCATAATACATGTTCCATAATTAGTAGTCCCTAACACCATTATTACAATGCTGAAAAAAACCCTAAAAGCATATTACATATTCTGTGGGAATAAGGACCTGTTAGCATAAGAAAATGACAAGATAATACATGTAGTCTTAAAGTAAGTCATTCTAGCAATATCTTTATAGTTAATTTATATTTTTCTCAGTTGAGAGAAATTATGGCCTAAATATTTTTATTTGCACCAAATTAAATACTATCCTTATACAGAGTAAAAGCATAATTTAAAGACAATATTCTATATGTAGTTTTATTGGAAATGGTAGAGAATACTGATGTGATTCACTTTGTGATCTAAACATGGAGTCAGGTCATCATATTTTTTCATATTACTTTCCATATTTTTTCATGTATACTTTGATCAGCACTGTGTACTGAAAATAATTTTGAGGTAATGTGACAGGAACATTATACAACTCCAATTCAAATTAATGTGGTAGTTGATTCTATTTGACTTTTATTTTCCTTTTTTTTTAACAGTGCAGTTTTATCTTACATTTGTATGGTTATGTTGCCCATTTGTCTTGTTTGTTTGTCAAGTTGAATAAATACATTGAGCTACATGGATAGTTACCTTTGGAGAACAAATGACAGATATATATGTTTATATATATATA